TGATCACTACTTAATCAATGTCAATGTGCCGAATACTACAGTTATTGGATGCTTCGCATCCAATAACTATTAATTATCGAATTACGAAACTGAGTATTGTTGATAATAAATTATCAGTTATGTTTTGAGTGTACAAACCATGTAAATGAAAAAGCAAAAAAACGGAACGCGAGAATCGAATTTTTGATTTCAAAAACTGAGTGGAATAAATTAATAAACACATAGCATTAAAAATGTGCAGAAGTATAACCGATCATCAAAATTAAAAAACAGATTCTTATTCCACAAACATCTTATTATCTTGTTAATCTACTTTGGAAGATAAACGCATTATTTTTCCGGAAGTTTGTCATTATATTATGGTTTAAATCTTCTAAATCAAACATTATATTTTAAGTACAACGAAATTCTTATCATTTTATTACGGAAGCTAAAGAAACTTTATGGGAAAATACTCGAACGTTGACCTTAATTGATTGCACACAAGATCGATCTGGTAAATTCCGAAACCGAGGAATCGAGTACTGAAGATAATGAATCCGTATCAGAAATTTTAAGCACAGAAGAACTCTTCATGAGGTATAAAAAAATTTTTTATCATTATATTTTCGAGTTTAAATAAATATATTTATTAATTTTATGTTTTAGACATTTAATTGTTTTGAAAAATCTAATAATATTTCCAAACAAAAAAAATAGCTTCGAAATAATGAATCGAACTTTAATTCTATTCAAAAAATGGTAGATGACAAAGATTTCGAATGAGCAAAAAGGCTTGGAGTGAACATAACAAAAACACCTTTACTGGCAGAATTAAATTCAAATTTAAAGTTTTACATATTAAATAAAATTTAAATTTGAATATAAATTCATTTTATAGATTCAAATCAAATGTAATTTGACTTAGAATTTGTAGCAATAATTAAATAAATTCTAATTAGTTGAATATATTAAAAAAAACTTCAATTATTTTTTCAAGATATTTCGTGATCTCGTGATTCTGATAATCTTGTGCGCAGATTGAAATTTAACAAGTGACTACGTAACTGATTTTGGTGGCGATACTAGGTGCGTTATAGGATAACTCTTAGAGGGGAAATAAATAGGAATTTAAAAAATTTTATTTATTTTGAAATCGGAAAATGAAATGAGAGTGTTTAGAGACACCCATTTAACAAAATAAGTAAACTTTTCAACGATAAAGATCATTTCATTACACATCGCTCACTTATTTGAAATACCTATTACAGTTAAAATTACAACTAAAAAGTTACAACTTCCAACTTTACTAAAATTATTGTGGCAAGCAACCTTTATAATAGAAAACAAACAGGAACTATCTATAGAAATTTAATTATACAAAAAAGATGGAATCAGATATGTGTGAAACTATGAGAAATTATGAGAAATAATAATTATACCGCTGTAATCAAGCCCGCAACTGCTTTTATTATCTCAACTATAGAATCATTTTGTTTTTGTTCAAATTCGTTATGCATTCTATTCATTTGTTCTTGAAATTCTCTATCAGCTTTCTCTTTCCCTTCTCTTCTTAAATTTTCTTCGTACTGTGTCCTTATTTGTTTTTCATTCTCTTGCTTTTCGCGTTGGATTTTTTCTTGCACTTGTCGAGCAGATTCCAACATTTCCGTAGTATAGAATCCAGGTGTATGGATTATAAGGTCTCTAATCTCCCTCAACCTTGATGTTTTTCATGTTCTGGAGGAAAGTAATCTGAATCTGGGGATATCCCCCACCGGTTTCCTATACTCCCAATGAAGGAGGAAATAGCTGGATTCCAGGCTTGTCGCATTTCATTTTTGTCGGCATTTTGTTTTTTTGTTGCACGAGAAAAAACGGCAATTATATAATTTAATGCGCCTTCTCCAAAAAACATTCTTATGCCATCTAAGACATTTTTTTGTTCTTCTGTAAACCGCTTTGCTTCTGTAGAGTAATATATATATATAATATTTATTCAGTTATTATTTGTCATTATTTGTCATCATCTTACTACATATTTAAATTTCATCTTGTAAAAGGAGTAAGTTGTCACGTACCGAAAACAAAAAGGATTGCTTTGATACCATAAACACATTTTTGAACTATTTTGGCAATTTCTTTGTAGACTTCCTCGTCAGGCCTATTTGTATCAAAAATTCCCGGTGTGTCGACAATATTAAATTTCTGGCCATCAATTGTCACTTCTGATTCAGCACATAGTTGCGTGCAGGAATACTATATGGTTTATCTTTAGCTTTGGAAGGAATTGTATATATTAAATACGAATATGACCACTCACCACACTATCTGACACAATGAAAGGTCCATTATCATGTGGCTGGTCGAGAAGCAAGTTACCAAGTGTACTTTTTCCAGCGCCTTGATAATTTTGTTATTTTAACTAAATAAATAAAAAAAAATCAATCAAATTTTTATAATACATGCCTGTTTTTCCTACCAAGAGGATTACGGGATAATGAAGTTTAATTTGAGAACCTTCGGAAACTTTTGGTCTTGTTCTAGTTGCGGATATTTAAGAAATGGGTCGTTAATAATTTCATTTAAAATTCATTGACTATCAACATTACTCAACTGGCTCATTTTACTTATTAAATTCGCGCAATCTGATTATATTGACATGAAATGTTTATTTATAATCGATATTTCAGTTATTTCAACCTAGGATGAACTTTTCCGATATAATGAATCAGGGCTGATAACTCAAAGATAGAACTTTTATCTTAATCTATCCATTTAATCAGACCAAATTGGCGAAATAGCTAAATATGGGTCTTATTAATGACAAATATATTCAGATTCTTATCGTGCCTGCTTTATTGTATGGGCAAACCCAGTTACACACGGATTCAAATATTCCGTGGCCTTCGGCTACGGAATTTAAATATGAACCCGTGTTTAACTGAGTTATCTAATCGATAATCGATTCTCGTTACATCTATTTATGCGAGGATGAAATAGATTGGTTTTTTAGTGATCATAAATTTGTAATTGTCCGAAGCGTAGCGAGTACTACTCCGTTTTAAACAACTTGAATGCATGTTCATGAGAATTGAAGGTTCCCATGATGATCTGCAGCCTGTGCGTAATCAGATTCTGATTTATACCGTTATTAAATGAATAATTTTTTTTGGGTAGGGATATTTCTTTAAAGTCTACATGTATGATATAGAGCTTATAATTGATAATAAAGTTCGGAAAATATATTTAATAAACTCCAACAATATAAGAATGTATCATCTAATTATGGAATTGACTCATAAAAATTTTTAATAAGTACAATCCATATTGATATACGATAAAAAATTTTGGGGCATACGCATATAAGATAATATAAAATTTTTTGACGAAATTCATTTTCTTTTAGTCAGAAAGGAAATGTGGCGGGTCATGATTGAAGATAGTAAATATTTTTTTTTTTTTTTTTTTTTTTTTTGACGTATGCTCGAACACTCGATCACCTTTAGCAAGTTGATTACCCGATTTTATGTTCCTGATTTAGAAACAATGATGACATAAAATTGGCTCGATCTTCATTCAAAGTATTAAGGTTATCGTGCGCCAAAAAAAAATTTATTTACCATTTTAGAACAATGACAACGATAATTTATTTACCATTTTAGAAACAATGACAACGATAATTTGTTTTTGATTTAGAAACAAAGTATTAAGGTTATCAAGTGTGCGCCAAAAAAAAATTTATTTACCATTTTCGAAAACCATAACTTATATTATTTCATGTACAATAAAATGGCGAAATAATGAAAAATAATATTATCATTATGTAAAAATATTGATCCAGGCCTTAGGTGAATTTAATTCCTATTAAGCTATTGTGGTGCAGATTTGGTTTTTTCCAGATTTGCTACTATTTTGGGGGTCGTCTAAAGCGGATCATAATCACGTGATATACGGCCAATCAAATTATAGAGTTTTGATGCTCGCCGGCGAAGCAAAACAAGAAATAAAAACGGGAAGGTAATTTTGCTTATATATAACTACCTAAAACCCTAATATAAGATGACCCTAACCCTAAAGTTAATTCAATAAAATATATATTATAAGAATCTGCTCCGCTTTAGACGTCCATAATCACGTGATAAGTGGCCAATCAAATTGTAGAATTTTGATGATCGCCGGAACTGAGAAAGAAAAGCGAAAAATCTGAAAAATACAAAAACCTGCAGTCTAAACATACGATTTTGCCTAATCTAAGATGCCTTTCCCTAAAGTATTCAAAAATATATATAATAAGAATATACTCCGCTTTAGACGTCCCACTTTTAAGGTTAGTATTCATGTGATAGGTAAATAAATTGTGGGTTAGTTACGGCCGCCCTAGATGATTCTTGTCTGGATTTGATTGCTGCTTTGTTTACCATAGATATGCAAAATCAATATGAATGTATAACGATTAAGACAAAATGATTTGGTATTAAAAAGTTGTAAGTATATATCATTATGTTAACTTTATTTCATTCATGAGATAAGAAAACTGGATACATCTAGTATTGCAAACCCATACATAGCTATTCCGGAGAATTGAGTTATTATTATATATAAAACGATAAATGTCGTGCAACATAAATCATTATATCGGAAGAGTCCTTCCTCGGTGAAGTGTGCTGAAATATCTATTATAAATAGACAACGTATAATTAATATTTCTTCTCAATGTGTTCAAATTGTACTGATTAAAAGAAATGAGCCAGTTGAATAATGTTGATTAGTAAATGAAATATTATTTAATATTAATTATTCACGGTTTTTTTTTTTTTTAAATAGAACAAGACCAGAATTTTCTGAAGGTTCTCAAATTAATCTTAACCATCCTGTGATCCTTTTAATAGGAAAAACAGGCAAGCATTACAAGAAATTTTTTTAAATTTCATTCATTAAATTAATTAACTGTACAAAATAAACATTATCAAGGTGCTGGAAAAAGTACCCTTGGTAACTTGCTTTTAGGTCGACCACATGATGACGGTCCTTTTGTTGTTTCCGACAGTATGGTGAGTGATCATATTCGTATTTATATATGCTATTCACTCTGAAATTAAATCTGAAACTAAAAATAAATCAATTAAGGTTGAGGAAGATTAAAGACTTCATCATGGGTATATCAGGTTCCTATGTTTCGAATATGTTGGAATCTGCTCGACAAGAGCAAGAAAGAATTCAACGTGAAGAGCAAGAAAGAATTCAACGTGAAAAGCAAGAAGAAGAAAGACGAAGAGCAGAGTACGAAGAGAGGATAAGAAGAGAAGAGAAAGAGAAAGCAGATAGAGCATATCAAGAAGAACTAAATAGAAAGAAAGCAGAATTTGAACAAAGACAAAGAGAAGAATTAGCTGCGATGACAAATCAAGTTACGGAGTTGAGAAGAGAGGTCCAACATCATGTACGATGATTTTTACATCTTATTTACATTTATATTTTGTACCATATAAAATGTCATTCTCACAGTTTCATATATACATATTTTTTGTATAATGAAATTTTTATAGCATGACTCGGGCTGTTTTGCTCTTGATACGAAAGTGCAGCTTTCCAGCGGTAAATTGGTAGAAATGGCTGAACTCCAAGTTGGTGATCTTGTTTTAAGTGATTTAAGAAATAACCGTCCAGAGTTTTCAGAAGTTTATTTGATATCTCATCTGGGACATATCGATCAACCTTTTGATATGGTAAAAATTAAATTCACAAACCCCGATGGAAGTAAAGGTAATTTATTTTTCATTTGTCAGCTCCTATAAGATCTTTGTTCTTTGTGATTCTAATACTTTTTTTAAACAGGTTATATTCGCATGACACCTAAACATTGCATCTTCAATAATGATTTATCACTCTTATATGCTCGGGATGTAGTACCAGGCGAAACCAAAATTCTAGTTTTAAATCAATCGAATGAACTTGTCCCTGTTATTATTGATGACCTTGATATTGTAAGATTTTATTTTGTTGATAATTATGTATCTTTTATGATCTAACAATCATTTTTCAAAATTAGGAAAAAGACACTGGCTATATCAGTTTTTATACACATTCTGGTACCGTGGTTGCAAACAATATATTGTGCTCATGCTATGATGATTGCCCGAAATCACAACTTTTAATGGACCTGGTATTTGCACCAATTCGATTGTGGACTAAAGCATTTCCTTCTACCCATCGTCAAAAAGAACTTCACCCATATGTGCAAACTTTAGAAACTACTCATATAATTTGGTGCAAAACATTAAAGAAAATTAAAATGATCAGACAAAAAGATATAATTTTAATTTTATGTCTCATTTATCTTCTTTTCATATTTGTTATGTAATATTTATTAGTAGGCTGTGCACATAGTACATTAATAAAAAATTTCACCTGGAATGTCGTGCAATATACAAATAATATATTTTGTTATATTGCACTAGTGCAATGGGTGGTGTAACGAATTAAAATTTTATTTTTTATATTATTGTAAATACCTTTATTTTCTCGGTAAAATATCCGCATGTATATAGTTTGGTAATTTTAGTATATTAATTTCTTTTGATTATTTCATAACTTATACTAAAATGGTGGCTTAATGGCTTAGCTGCATGAAATCAGATGAATCACGTAAACACCGAAAAAACCGCGTATACGTGATTACACAAAGACTGTGCCTTACGACTTTTCGGTGTATACGGTGTATACACCTAAATTTCCACGACTACGTTATATTTTCGGTGTAAACGTTACAATTTCGGTGTCTACGTTACTGGAAATTAAAATGTATATAAAGCCCATGAATTCAATAAACGAAAGGGGAGTTAGTTCCTTGTCCACTTTCAATTACCACTAAATAATAAAGTATATACTTATCTGAATTTTCCTTTGAGACTTTGTCTTTGAATTCGACTTGTAACTTTAATAA